AAACCTATACAAAAGCCGTACAGAATATCTCTCTTTATTTTAAGCCTCAGTAGGATAGAATCTCTAGAATAACACTCTTGCTTGTTGGGGGAAAACACAGTAAAAATGTTTCCTTTTTTCTACAAAGGCACGTTAACAGCATAGCATTTTTTAACTAATAACTTTGCTTCCTAATGCTCAGAGGTAAGCTTGAGGGCTTATAACGTTAAATTTCTATTGAGGTCGGCACATAGCCCACTGTTCAGCTTTTTGCTGAACGACGAGGTATAATCGTTTTACTCTTTTGGTTTAAAAAATCAGAAACTATTAAATATGTAAATGACGATCTTAGTTTTGTGTAATCAATAGGCTATTTAGAAAGAACAACATTTTACTGGGCTCGACATGGCCTGGTGGTTAGGGTGCTCGACTCACAATTTTCAGGGTCGCGAGTTCATAGTCCGTCACCGAACATTCTCGCTCTTTCAGCCATGGAGGCATTATAATCTGACGGTCAATCCCTCTTTTCGTTGGGTAAAAAGTAGTCCAAGAGTTGGAGGTAAGTGGTATTGACTAGCTGCCTTCCCTCTAGCCTATCACTTCCAAATTAGGCACGGCTAGCTCAGATAGCCCTCGAGCAACTTAGCTTTGAGCGAAATTCCAAAAACTAATAAACAAAACATAACTTTACGGTCGACAGATTTAGCATTTGTTTTTAATTCACCAAAAAAGTGCCCAGTAAAATATAGATTCCAGATTTTAGCCTATTTTTTTACGTCATTCAAATAACACATAAAGGAAATAGAATATCCATACCTTGTGAAGTTTAAAAGTCCTGATGGTGTAATCAACAAATTCTTGCTGGCTCAAAAGAGTGATGGAGATGTCTCCATGTTTACTCGTAGTATCCGGCCAGTATTTCTCACATTTTTTCTGTAGTATAAATACAGTAATACACTTTATTAACTAGCTCTTTTTTTAGCTCATATACTTGTATATAAATATCTATATTTAAGTTGGAAAGTAATTATAACAAGAAAAGAAATTATATTGGTTTTGTTTGGATTACTTTAGATCTTCAAGAAATAATGAAATAAATGTATTTCAATAATTAAAGATCAACTTAAATATACTTTTATTAGATTTGTTTGTTTGTTTAGTTGAATTTATGCACAAAGCTACACAATGGGCTATCTTTGCTCTGCCCACCACGGGTATCGAAATCCGGTTTCTAGCGTTGTAAGTCCGCAGACATACCCCTGTGCTACTGGGGGGGGGCTACCGTATCTGTTTGTTTGTAATTAAGCACAAAGTTACACAATGGGCTATCTGTGCTCTGCCCACCACGGGTATCGAAATCCGGTTTCTAACTCTGTATGAATCGTACGTTGTGTTTGTAATT